GAGCTATTCTTCGGTCGTATGGATTGATGATCCATTCTTTATCAAACGTCAACGTGTTCAAATGGCTTGCTCTTTCTGTCGTCATCGAAAAATTAGATGCGATGGTAGAAATCCTTGCGCAAACTGCAAGAAATATTCTACCAGTTGTACTTATGTAAAAATTGAAAAGACTACTCGCAATAAAAATAGAGATAAAGAAACGATAGAAAATACTAATCATAACAGTGCCATGACGCGTGGTAACTCTTCTGGAAGTACTCAGATTTCTACTAGTTCTAATGACTCTTCCATTTTCGGTATACAAACATCTCATGGAAAGCGTCCTTTAGATGATGTCACGGAACATCAAACTTTACCTCCAGCTCTTCGTCGTAATCCTACTTCTCAAGGAATGTTTTCGGCACCTTCCCCTCAATGTAATTTTTTTTAACAATAACCATCATTTTATTTTATTTTAATTCTATGTAATAAAAAAAAAAAAAAAAATTCTTTTCATATTTAGCTTCAACAATTCTGTCAAGTAATTCGATTTCTGTTGCTAAACCTGAACCAAAACTACCTCTTATTGACGATCATGTAATACCACCCGACGATATTGTTGAACATTTGCTTGAACTTTATTGGACTAATGTTCATCCTTATGTTCCAGTTCTTAATAAATCTATTTTTTTACAACAACGTGAGAGTCCTGATGACCCCCCTTCTCACTTGTTACTTAATGCTATGTTTGCTGTCGCTGCAGAATTTTCAGATCGTCCATCAGTGCGAACAGACCCTGAATCTCATGAAAAAGGTGGTTGGGTCTTTTTTGATAGAGCCCGTAATATCCTTGACTCATTTTTGGATGCTCCAAGAATGTCTACTATAGCTGCTCTTATCCTTATGTCAATTTATCAACAACATAATACTAGACGTTCTGGAATTTCTCCTGGTTATTTTCGTAGATGGATGTACATTGGTATGGCTATTCGTATGGCCCTTGAACTGGATTTAAACAAAGATTGTGATGATCCTCATCTTGATCGTTCTCATAAAGAATTGAGAAAACGTTTGTGGTGGTCCCTGTTTATGGTAGATGTATTGGTTTGCTGCGGAATCGGTAAAGCAAGTAACATCGAAGAAGAAGAATGTACTATTCCTGAACCTGATGATAATGTGAATGAGCCTGAATTAAAAGTCGATGGCGCTCTTAGAGAATTTATTCACCAAATTAAATTCACCAGAATGCTTCATCTCTTACTAAAACATAATTTCTCTTATAAAGTCTCTACTACTTCACCGTATCTTAATCAAGATAGTATTGTGACCAATTTTGAAGATCAAATTCAAGATTGGTTTTCTCAATTACCCATACAAACAACACATTCCACTGAGTCTCTTATTGATAACTCTAACAATTATTCTACAACAATGTTACACCTTCGCATGTTATATTACTCTTTTATCATCCTTCTTCATCGGAGATATATTGTGAATCAGGATTCCCTTTCAAAATGTATTCGTGCCGCACAAGAAGTTACTCCTATCGGTGCTTCAATACTTCGTAACTATTCATCTCCTTTTAGAGGGTTCCTTAATTGCACTACTTGGTGTTTATTACAAGCTGGAATGATTCATGCTTTAAATAAAGTTGTGGGAAATGAAGCATCCTGTAGAGTTGCTGAAGAACACTATGAGAAAATAGTTCATCTTTTTCAAGAATATTCTCAAACAACCGCGTTGCAAGTTTTGCAAGATCATGCGAACACCTGCAGTTCTCATCGTTTGTCCGGAATAGATGTAGATGTTTGGTCACCCTCAGATAATCCTACACAACAATCCCCGGAAATTTTCGTCTTTTCGCCTGGGAGTAAGGTCGGTAACATCAATAGCAACCTGCACAACAACCACATCATCAATGACAACGATACCCCTTCTTTTTTACTATCGCCTCCAACCGTTATATCCTCCATTCCATCAATTGATCATCCTCCTTGTTTTCCTTCCATTGATGTTGATAATTTATATGAACATCCAAACATGCATACAGACTTAACAAATAATTATTCTAATATGGTTTCATTCCAGAGCTTACAATATGGTACTACTACTCTCCACATGTCTCCAGCTACGACTACTGGTACTTTTGACACCCCTCACATATCTCAAATCACAACACCTTTTTCCAGCCCGCATAATGGGACAATATCCCCTCTCTGTGGAACAACACCTCATCAATCCCCAGATGTCGACGATGTCGACCTCGGTCAATTTACAAACATAACGTCTCCTTTGCTAGAGCAGTCGGGGATCTTACCAAAAATGGACAGTGTCGATCGCACCTTTTATGGTATAGAAATGCCGATCAAATAATTCAGTCAGGGATTTTACCATAAATTTGGCTATTGACGATCGGACCTTATTTAATAATAATCGCTGATCGGAAAATTCTACGTATTACAATAATTGACCAATCAAATTGGGGAATCTATATTAATCGATTTTCTTTCGAAATACAGTCAATTTTAAATGCGACTTCTCTCTAAATGCGACTCTAAGTTCTGACACAAGTATATGTTTGGTCTCTATAAATGCCATTTCTCTTAATTGTTCTTTAAGTGCATACTGCCAAAAGTCTGGCCTCAATGAATTGCACTTATAGAAGTTAACTGTAATAAACTTTCCTCATAACGAACCTTCTAATGAAAAAAATCCGGTAATAAGAAAATTATTATTAATGTTTACAACGTCAAGCTTTCGCACCTCTATGCTTTAAAATAACACATTTCAGTGAAGATACGTGTTAGGTTACAAGATCGAAGAAATGTTCACAAAACAGCATATTGTATGAGTACATTTTTTAATTAAAAACTCAGACTTTGTAAAAATTCTATATTATTGCATTTAAAAGATCGTTTTACATCATGTATAATATTAAATAAAAGTTTTATTTATTATGCCTTAAATTCATATAAATATATTGAATAAATTTGAATATAAATGCAGTCAGGGATTTTACCAAATGTGGGATGGCTGAAACCATGTGATTTTGACGTTTTAATCGTTTTAATTAAAATTAAGGTTAGGATTAAAAAGAGGAGTATAGGTAAAATTGCCTTTTCGACATTTTAATTAGTGCCCCGAGGTAGGTTAAGACTGCTGTTTTTCACCTTTTTGCGTTTTCTTTATTTTTTGACTTCTTTGGGTTGATTTATGTAAACAAAATTTCGCAATTCCGGTTGGTTGATTTACACAAAAAAGTCATGGCTTTAGACAACATACCTTTTGTTTATACAGTGTCGAATAGCATAAACCAACAGCTTTTTTTAATAAAATGCGCCAAATTTTACTATTATATAATCAATTTATCAATTTGATTGGCTAATATAATCTAATCAATTGTGATTGGTCAAAAATAATATGAAATTGTTTTTATATATAGGGTGCTGGTATTCATACCCCCCACATTTAGTAATTATACCCTCCACAGAAATTAAAATTTTTTAAAACTTTGAATGAAGATATCTCGAACCTATCTAACTAAATTTGATGAATTTTTTTTTATTTGAATTCTACAGATCTGTAGAATTTAAATAAAAAAAATTGATTGAATTTAGTTAGGTGGTTATCGAGATATCTTTATCATGCTTTAATTTATTTTATTTATTTTAAACAATTCAAATTAATTAAAATTAACTAAAAAATATATATAATAAAATATTAATAAATACTTACTAAATTTCTTGCAATCAATTTTTTAATAGCAATATCTAACATAGTTATTTTATCATATTTCAAATTAAGCATGGTTTAACTTATAGCTATAGCATATGCTATATTTTTAGATGATATATCTTTTATAATTTTAGTACTATTATTTTAAAATAGAAGTTTTTAGGTGATTCAAATCCAAGGAACTACAGTGGCCTACCATATAAGTGTGGACACTTTTTGGATCAATAACAGGTAAGTATGCGCAGCACGAAATTTATATCACGTGTTCAGTAGATCTCAACGTACAACATATTAAAATTTCACTTGGATTCGTTAGATTGCACAAAAGTTATGTAAGAAAAACCACCAACTTGGCTTTATTTATTTGTATGAAAATACAAAATTAGATTTTTTTTTTTTTTTTTACATTTTTTTTTTAACAAAAAAAAAAATCTAACTTTATTTTAATATTTTGTAGGTCTCCCTCAGCTTTTATGCAAGCGGCAACTCGATCAGGCATACTTCTGATAAGCTCACGGCAATACCTTAATAGTATACTTTTCCACGCCTGTTTGACAAGAACATCAAGATCTTCAAGCTTACTCAGCCTTTTCTTACCACACAAAACCTTATGCAAAGCCCTTTTTACTATATACCAAAGGTTCTCAATAAGATTCAGATCGGGACTCTAAGGTGGCCAATTCATTACCCGAACCTGATTTTTACCCAAAAACTCCTTCGTATTCGTAGCAGTGTGGGGTCTTGCATTGTCCTGAACGAAGATCGGAAGACCACAATCACTGTTTGCTAGAAATCTTTTTATGGTAGGAAGAGCATACTTTCGAAGGATTTTGGTGTGTAAGTCACCTGTGGCAGAAGATGTTAACGCAACAAGGGGCCCAACCCCAAACCAGGAGAAGCAACCCCAATACATTCAACCTTTACTGCACTTTACAGTACAACCCAAGCAATTAATACTCCATTTCTCCTCAGGTTCATGCCACACATGGCCGGGGTAACCTAGAAAAAGACAAATAGTGGTTTCATCAGACCACAATACACGCTTGAAGTGCCAGACAGTCCAGTCTTTATGTTTAAAAGCCCATTCATATCGCTTTTTTGGTTCGCTGGGAAAAGCAATGGCTTTTGGGAGGCAACACACGAAGACAAGTTCAAATCGTGCAAGGCACGATGTATGGTACTTTCCAAAAGGTTTTTTTTGCTTTTTTTATTGAAGAGGGTGGTGAGTTGAGTGAGGATGAAATGGCGGTTGCCGTTAATGACAAAATTTTTCAAGCTTCTAAGATTAGAAGGGGTTAAGGTTCTTGGACGTCCGGTTTTTTTTTTTTTTTTAGTGCTTTTGCACGAAACACCTTTACAACATTTCACACAGAAGACTTGCCACAGCCAACAGAAGCAGCGATCGTGCAAAGTGAATCTCCTCGTTGGTGGTTGTAAATTATTGCACCTTTTTGCTTTTCGGTCAAATCTTTGTAGCTATCCATTTTTTTGAGAAAAAAACTCAAGATCATCTTTGTTTTGTTAATTCTGCCAATCCGTCATACATATGTATCTTTTTTTAACTTGAGTAACGTTACCTAGGTATTGCACAATATTTGAGCAAAATTTGGAGCTATTACAAAATAAAATCGATTTTTGGTGAATTTTTCTTTTAAAAGAAAAATTCACCAAAATCGATTTTCGTACTTATCTAAAAATGGTAATTTGGCTTGTCTTTTGCATAACTTTTGTGCAATCTAACGAATCCAAGTGAAATTTTAGTATGTTGTACGTTGGGATCTACTGAATACATAATATAACTTTCATGCTGTGCATACTTACCTGTTCTTGAGCATCACGATCCAAAAAGTGTCTACACTTATATGGTAGGCCACTGTAGAATAATTAAAACCCATTTAACAAAACACAAGCAAAGAGGTAGTGAAGTCTTTAATAATATTGCAGAAAGCTAAAACTGAAAAATAAAAAACCAGACAAAAATCCTAAAACAAGAAGGGTTCACCAACCTAGCTATCAGAGTTGCATAAGAAAAAAAGGTTCTATGTTACAAAATTAGAAACTAAGAAAAGTAATTAAGAGGCATTTAAAGCCTAAGTATAATAATCTATCTGGGTTAACTAGTTTGATAGTTGGAAAGAGATTAGTATAATAACTAGTTTAATACAGATATTGGAATTAGAATAAATTTTGTAATAGCATGAATACTAGAATTGTGTAGTTTAATATTTAGCTCTAACTATTATATTAGTAGTAGTTTCAGCTTTGCAAAAAATATTTAAAGCTTAATTTAAAAATATATAAAACATAAAAAGATAAAAAGGTATATACTACATCTTCTCTAAGATAATCTGATAATATGAGAGAACTCTATTAAGTTATTTATAGAATTAGAGTGCAAATAGTATATCAATTTAAGTAGTCCTCAATTAAAGCCAGTATGATTGTGATAATAATACAAAATGTATAATATCAGAGAGTTTAAATAAGTAATTTTCTAATTAAATTATAGGTATAGCATCTAGTATAGAATCTTTGGGCTAACTATTTAAATAGATAATCAAAAGTTGTATATATAGTTAAATATACTACTAGAATATTCAATAAAAATCTGCCTATTCATGATATTATAAGGATAAAAAAAAAAATTTTATATTCTAAAATAATAAAAAAAAAACTTAAACTAGTTTATCGGTAGCCTAAACTAAGAGCTTCAAACTTTTTTTTTCCTTAATAATTTTGTTTATTTCTTTATAGAAACAGACTTTCATCCTTATATATAAAGAAATCTTTTTTTTTCTTTTTTTTTTATACCTTCGCAATGTCACAAAAGAGTGGATTTTTATTAGGTATTTTAGTAGTATATTCTTGGTTAGCGAAAGTACATATAGCCACACGTACAACTTTTGGTCGCTTAATTTAAGTAGCCTGCCCAAAGGTTCTACACTATATACTATATTTGTAACCTAACTAGGAAATTACCTATTTAAATCCTCTAACATCCCCGATTTTGCACTATCACCACAATCACACCAATCCATAACCTTGTACTGCTTTTTATTGAAGACTACCCAAATCGACACCTGCTATACTACTTGTACCTTAATTCTATAAATAACCCAGTAGGGTTCTCATACTACCAGGTTGCTCTAGAGAGAGTGTAGTACATATGCTCTAATCTTTCTATATC